ATTCCTAACTAATGTTAAATTAACGGCTCTAACAATGTAACAGTTTTGTACAGGGTGTTACTCAGAAGTGGCTCACCTTTATAGCTTTTTGTTATTTTTTTCAGATAAAAAACGAAATTTGGTATATTAAAACTAAAAGAATTTCGGACTTCCATCATTGTACTATTTTTTAAGCAAAAATGTCAAAAGTTGACATATTAGATGTCATTCTATTCAGAATAATATTACTATATAATAGCAAAAGTAGCAAAAATCAAAAATTGTAAACATTTTCGGTGAAACAGGAATTGACAGAAAATAATTTAATACGTCAATCAATCCTGATTTACGTCATACATATGGTCATATACTGAATGTCGCTTTTTTGTCTGAAAAAAAAATAAGAAAAGTAATAGGGGGGTGATCGAGCCACTTTTCAAAAATACCAGGTGTAAAAAAGGGCCTCTCTATACAGCAATAAGTTTAATATTGTAATTATTTGTTAAGATATTTATATGTATGACTATTTTAATTTGAAATTGAGTCTATAATGTTTATTTATTATGTATAACATAATTTGAATAATAATTGTAACTTAAAAGCAATGTAAGCAATACGATCTATTTTAAATACACGAAAATTGTTTGTTGCATTTATGTAGATATATTCAGCCATTAGTTAACATACAGTTTACTCAACGCCTATAGACTCACCAAATGTATACAAATACATATGAGACATGCAAGAGAACTGTAATACTACAATAATATTATATTATAATATTGATGTAAAGTCTGACCAAAAAGTCAGCGAATATTTCGATAGATGACGCCCAAAAAATGAGAGAAAATATTTACCTGTGAAGTAAAATGACAGCTACAACTGTCACTGTCGTATGTTTCCTCTCGTTGGACGAACTATAGCATTACTGATATTTACGTGCGGCATGTCTCGTGTATTAGTTGGCGTTTGGTGCATCTTGGTGTTGAATATACTTTAGTTATTTAGATCTGCTCTAGTAAATCTTTATTGATTGAAAGTAAAGAGTTAATTTTGTCTCGAGATATCAGGAAAGTGATTTTCATATTAATGCTTACTGTATTATGATTTTTTTATATGTAGGGTGTAAAAAAATGGTTTACTCTGGAAGGTTTACTCCAAATATGTTCATAGGAACTTTTTATTTTATTTTTATCTGTAGAATCACCCATTACAGTTTGGTACACTATGTTTTCACACCCTGTATAATAAAACATAATTATAAGATTGATTGACTTACCTGGTAAGGAAGATCAATCTTGATTATTCGAGCATCGTAGTCCTTCTATGATAGCTTTTGGTAGGTATCACTTTTCCTATCCCGCGCACAAAGTGGTTCGAAAGAATGTGTAATGTAAACAAACATCCTCAGCTTCGCCCCTGGAGGCGACCCATCGGTCCTTAATTAGTTCATTTGTGACGGAGTAAATCGCACTGAATCGGGTAATGTTTGGGGTATGGAGGGCTCTATCATAGAAGGACTACGATGCTCGAATAATCAAGATTGATCTTCCTTACCAGGTAAGTCAATCAATCTTATAATTATTCTTCGCATCTCCGTCCTTCTATGATAGCTTTTGGTAGATGTTCATAGAAACTTTATTCGGTGCGATATTGGTAAGAAAGCTAGATAATATCTAGTAATATTTTATTATAGAATTATTATCTATAATTAATACAACCTAAATAAAATATTTGCGTATATTATGTTTACCTTATTATGTTTTAACCTAAACAAAAATGTTTGCCCATATTAATCGTAACGATATAGTAGTAAAACAATTAATACCAAAAATAAGAAACAAAATAATTATTTAAATTAAATGACTACGAGTAAACCTCACAATAAAAGGAAACTGACACACAATAAGTCTAATCTTGTTTAGTTTCTTAGTTTTTACGAATTTTCTTAATTATCTATTCTCTTAATAATACAATTAGCAAAATCTGTAGGTTGGTTGTCAAGGGGTAAATTATAAAGTTATTAAATACTTTAGATCTTTCTGTCCAGCCTGCCGTTTTTTTTTAATTAAATCTATGTTAGTCCTGACCTATAAGCTGCTGATGTGGTGGCATAACGGACACTAGGACCCTTAATATGCAAGTATCAATACTACTTCTTTTGTAAAATTTCTTTTTACCCAGCGAGATATGCTTTGGGTCGATGCAGCATGAAGGGGTCGCTGGTATGTAATTAACGTAACAGTGAATTTGTAGAGTTACGATATAACTTAGTCTTATCTAAATAATACATTAATGTAGATGCAACACATAGTCCTGGTTTATCTCTAAAGTATGGAAAAACTAAAACCTTTGTTGTTTCCTTTTAACACCTGAGGTCTTTATTCTATCTGGAATTCTGATCTCGATCTGATCTGATGTTAAATACAGAGCTTTTTGAAATGGTCTGAACTCTGTGGTCCGAAGTAAATAGCAACAGAGTAGCGAGTTTCAATGTCAAGTCCTTTAATGTAAGAGTTTCATTGGGAAAAAGGCTATTAATATAATATCGATAATACTGGATAGGTGTCCCATGTTGACTCATATCTGGGTGTTGCCGGACGTCTGTTGTATAAAGTTTTTAAAAATCTCTTTAGTACTAACTCATCCTCCGTGTAAAATACTAATGAAAATGCCGATCTATAGCAATTAAGAGAAGAATAAGATAAACCATTGTTAAAAATGTATGTTAAGAAGATCAGTAACGCATTTAAATTGTAACTAAAAGGGTTATGACTCCTATCCCAACAAAACTTCCACCATTTTTTATAACAATAAGAATATTGTTTTAAGGTCCTATCTGAAAATGACGATAAAAAAACATTGGAATAGTTTCTTCTGGAAAGGATCTCAATTTAACCATTCCCGGATAGCTTCCCTGCCACCAGGGAAATTTTGTTGAACAAGGAATGTTCTTCTCTGAAAGGAAAGAAAATAGGGTCATCACCTGGTAACAATATTATGGGTTCTTCTATAAGTAGACTCATATATTGTGGATACCATGGCTGTATTGGCCAGTTTGGCACTACAGCTATACCCATTGCTCCTTTATTAGTAATTTTACTAAGTACCCTGTTCGTCAGAGAAAACGGCGGGAAAGCATAAAAGTAATAATTTGCCCAGCTAAAAGTAAATGTATCTACTCGAAACCTATCTGGATCTGGTCCCCGTGAAACATATTTTTTGCATCTTGCATTTATTCTTGATGCAAAAAGATCAATTTCGGGACAACCATATATTTCTATAATTTTTCTGAAAACACTCTGGTTTAATTCAAATTCTACATTTGATTGATGTTTACGAGATAAAAAATCTTCTTTAATATTTTCTTTGGTATTTATATATGAGGCAAAAATAAATATGTTTCTGGACTCATACCAATCCCAGATGTTTCTAGCTATATTGTTTAGGCTTGAATATCGGGAGCTGCCCATTCTGTGGATACATGTAATGGCTATTATCATTATGGCTATTATTATATTATATTATATATGGCTATTATTATTATTATGGCTATTATTATTATTATATCGTAGTCTCTGACATATCAATTCGCAATAGGATATGACAATTAGTTCTTAGTTAAGCAAAATATTTTAATGCATATAATGCAGTACACAGTTCAAGGTAATTAATACGGCATAAAATCTGGGTATTGTCCCAAAATCCCTGTGCCTCCTGGTCAACACACCAAGCCCCCCCAACCTGTATTTTAAGCGTCAGAAAATATTTCTAGAGAGTATGGTGTCGGTTTTATTTGTTTCTCTGAATTATTTATATTAGGTACCTATGTATCCACCAATCTATATCAAATAACAAGTTATTATGAATAATCATATTCAAGCTATAATTATTTCTACTCTGGGCTAATGATTTTATTTTAACTATTTCAAACGACTTTAAATGAAGCCGACCATAAGTAAAAGTGGGTGAAATTGAAACTAATTTGCCTACTACCGAAGCAAACGTTTTTATTCTGCAATTTGTTTTTGTCTTAGTCTCATTAATTTGTTTTTAATATCCTCTGCCTTTTCTATTGGCAGGCCTAACGTCATAAGAACTGAATTGAAAGTAAACCCTAAAAATGTTATATTCTGTGTGGGAATTAAAATACTCTTTTCCAAGTTAAGAATAAAACCTAGGTTATATAAAAGTTCTATAGTATTTTTAGTCGTTTTACAATCGTCATCTAATAAATAACTAAGATATGCCCTCTCTATCTTAATCTCTTTATTGCCGGTTTTAGCAATTTAGTGAAAATAAATAGTGCTATATTTAAGCCAAAAGGCAAGCATGTAAATTCATAAATTTTCTTTGAAAACAAAATCTTAAATATTTTCTATAGTTTTCATTAATGGATAATAGAAAATATGCATTTTTCTATTATCGATATTATCATGAAACAATTATTTTAATTAAGTTTTATTAACTAAGTTATTAATTTCAAAGCGCTTCGATAATCCTCCATCTTAAAATGATGGTTAATAATAAATTTGTTTAATTTTTTTAAATTAAGAATATGAGAATCATGCTCTCCATTGGGCTTCTTTATTAAAAAAAAAATATGAAGACAAAAACTGGGTCTTTTTATAAGAACACTCTAATTGTTATATTAATTCCTTCTTGTTTATATTTGATTAATGAAAAATGTTTGTGATATTTTAATATCATTTATGATGTAGGTATGTATTTCTTGATACTGTAAAAATTATTTGCATTATATTTTAAATTATGAATAAATAATTGATGAAAATTATTTGTAGTTTGGTTTTGCTTAGTAAGTAGATGTCCATCGTAATCATAGAGTAAAAAATAAGATCGGGATTCTACTGTACATATAAAAAACCTGTAAAAAACCCTCTGAATAAAAATTATAAGATATTAAAATATTTTTTTATTCCAAGAAAAAGTTTAACAAGGCAACCAAATATACACAATTTAAGATATGACATGACGTAATGACGTTTCAGAAGTGTTTCAAAATTTTTCTAACCTATATAAATTTGACATCTATTTTTTTTAAGTTTGTGATTGAAAAATAAAGTTATGGCTCAAAATCAAGGAATTATAAACAATTTACGAGTTATTTTAGGCAACGATGTAGAACTAAATATTGTAGAGTATGTTAAGCCTTTAAATTGAAATATTAATACTTATAGATTCAATTTTAAGGTACATTTCTACAATGAAACATGAAGAGGACTTTGAAGAGTTTATGGAGAATATCGTTGATAAAAACAGCCAAGCTCATATCAACGCATATAATGCTATTAAATATATAATTTTTGGTGACAAATTAAAGAAAAACAACAAACAGGTACAGCAAAATCAGAATAAATCTCAGAAGTCAAACAATTCGGAACAATCTAAACACGATCAACAAACATCTAAAAAAGGGAAAAAGAAGTTCAGAGATATAAATGCCTTTCAAGAACAGAAAAAGGAAAAGGAAGGTGAGTTATTAATACCTACTTATCTACTAATGTGAAATATAAATTGAACATTATTGCAAATTAGGCAGACAGATTTGTGATTGTATGGGACAGGAGCATGAATTTATGAATAATTGTCTGGAATGTGGAAGAATTCACTGTTTTAAGGAAGGTCCAGGATCCTGTTTCTATTGTGGAACTCCAGTAATATTTTAATAACTTTACCTGGTTTGATCTAAAAAAAATAACTTTTTACAGATATCAGTTAGAGGAGAAATACAAAACGCTGCCAATAGTAAACCTCTTATGAAGTAGGTTATATTACCTTTCAGTATATTGTAAAATAATCTTTTAATTTTTAGACCAAAGAAAAATACAGTCTTCGATGATGATAATGATTATTTTAAAATAAATGCCAAAAAATCCGAGGGAAGTAAAGGTAAAATGATAGTAGCTCTAGATTTTGCAAGTAGAAAAGTAATTGAAAGTACTCAGGAAGATGTTAGACTTAGAAAAATGTTATTGGAAGACTCAATTGAACATTTGAAGAGAGTTGAAAAATTATATGGTAATATTCAAAAGCTAAATCAAAGTATGGGAGCTTTGGCTTTAAAGGGCAATGTAAGAAAATTTCAAAGAGAAATAAGATTTCTTTTATGGTCTAACTGGACTTTTTAGAAAGACAATGATGAACTGGTAGATATTCTGGTACAAATGAGACACAAAAAACCTGCAGAAAGGGAAAATCTAGGTGATGAAGATAGTATAATGCCAGTTATTAACTATGAGACTAAAATATTTGATGAAGACCTGGCTTCAAATGTAGACCAGGGTTTGTGTCTGAGTATGCATCAACCTTATGCTAGTCTCTTAGTAGCTGGAGTAAAAAGGTATATATGTAACAGATATTAGTTTTTTTTTCTTATATTCTGTTTTATTTTAGACATGAAGGAAGAGTGTGGCCTACTACTCACAGAGGACGTTTGTGGATAGCAGCAGCTTCAAAACAGCCGGAAGATGAAGAGATTATAGCTTTAGAAAACTTTTACAGGGATTATTACAAAGGTAAAACCTTGCCTTAAAGTAGTTCGTGAAAATAAGATATATTAATGAATAATTTTTAGATCCATCTCTAAAATTTCCCAAAGAGTATCCAACCAGTTGTCTTTTGGGTTGTGTAACAATAGACGAATGTTTAGATCAGGAAAACTATAGGAAAAAGTTTGGCGATGGTGGAGAATCTTCGAGTCCGTATGTGATGATTTGCTCAAACCCGATTATTTTACCTATATTTTATCCCATTAGCGGAAAGCACAAAATATGTATGTATTTACTAGATTTTACTTACATTCCTGGATACATTCTTTATTTCTGTTTTTCAGATCCTCTGGATAAAGATTTACACAAATGCGCCAAGATGGCTTTACAACATGCAAAATATATCTGATATTCTTATGAATATGTAATTAAATTATATTTATTTGTAAAATGTTTATTAGATATATAATAATATATAAAATTCTTTCAATAAATAATATATTTTGTATAATCTCTGGCAACAGATTTGTTTGCTATTTGTTGTTTTTATAATTAAGAAATTAAGTTCAAATATTATTAAATTCACAGATTAAATATGAGGCAACCAAATATACACGATGAAAATGACAATCAAATAAACATAACCTTAAACCTAAAATTCTGCCAATGACTTCATGACTTGTCAAATATTTGAATCAAATCGAAGGCTTCAGTGAGTTGATATTCATTTTTGGATTTATTTTCAATAAGAAATGGTAAAGTTGTTGACTATTTCATAGTATATTATTCTTATATCACAGTTTTTTACAGGGTCAGAGTCAGTCAGGCGGTAGTGGCGGTGATAAAAAGGAAGAGAAAGATAAAAAGAAAAAATATGAGCCCCCAATTCCTACACGAGTTGGTAAGAAGAAACGCCGTACAAAGGGGCCCGATACTGCCCTCAAGTTACCGGCAGTTACCCCGCATACTAGGTGTCGTCTAAAGTTGCTGAAACTAGAAAGAATTAAAGACTATTTGTTGATGGAGGAAGAGTTCATTCGCAATCAGGAGAGACTGAAGCCACAGGAAGAGAAGAACGAAGAAGAAAGATCTAAAGTAGACGATTTAAGAGGTATTTTTGTAAAAGTTTACTTTTATTTAGATTTCTACATGGTGTGTTTATTGTCTAGGAACACCTATGTCAGTAGGAAATCTTGAAGAAATAATTGATGATAACCACGCTATTGTTTCCACGTCTGTGGGAAGTGAACATTATGTGAGCATTTTGTCTTTTGTTGATAAAGATCAGCTCGAGCCTGGTTGCTCTGTACTTCTTAATCACAAAGTACATGCTGTAGTTGGTGTGTTAGGCGAGTATTCCAAACCTATTAGAATAGAATTATCATAAAAAATGCAAATTTTGTATTTAGGTGATGATACTGATCCTATGGTAACAGTAATGAAATTAGAAAAGGCTCCACAAGAAACATACGCAGATATAGGAGGTCTTGACAACCAAATTCAAGAAATTAAAGAGTCGGTGGAATTACCGTTGACACATCCTGAATACTATGAAGAAATGGGTAATGTTAATACTTAATAATTTATAATAAACTCTAATATTTGGTGTTTTAGGTATTAAACCACCGAAAGGTGTTATCTTATATGGTCCTCCAGGAACTGGCAAAACACTTCTTGCAAAAGCAGTAGCCAATCAAACATCAGCTACTTTTCTGAGGGTGGTGGGGTCAGAACTAATTCAGAAATATTTAGGAGATGGCCCTAAATTGGTTAGAGAACTATTTAGAGTTGCTGAAGAACATGCTCCGTCCATTGTTTTTATTGATGAAATTGATGCGGTATTTTCTAACACAGTTAAATGTAATTTATTATTTATAACTATCGGTATTGTAGGTTGGAACAAAAAGGTATGATTCAAACTCTGGAGGTGAGAGAGAGATACAACGTACAATGTTGGAACTCTTAAATCAGCTGGATGGGTTTGATTCCAGAGGGGATGTAAAGGTAAGTTAGTCTTAATAATTTTTCGCCTCATATTAAAGATTTATTTTTTTTAACATGAATTTGTTTATTGTAGGTGATAATGGCAACAAACCGAATTGAAACACTTGATCCAGCACTTATAAGGCCAGGGCGTATAGATAGGAAAATTGAATTTCCACTGCCCGATGAAAAAACAAAGAAAAGAATTTTTAATATACACACATCCCGTATGACTTTGGCCGAAGATGTCAATTTGCAGGAATTGATTATGGCAAAAGATGATCTATCTGGAGCTGATATTAAGGTATTTAAGTAGATAAATCAAATTTAGTTAGTAATGCTTTGAAATCTAATATACCTATAAAATTCTCCAGTCATAGTTTTAGTTACTATACTCCTCGTAAACGGCTTGACCGATTTGGATCACATTTTATATGTATATTCAAAAGGTCTGGTTGTTATCTATTTTTTATCCCCCTAAATGATAAAAGTGACCCACCCCAATTTTTTTAAACTGTTCGGACAATTTTTTTTATTTTTTATGATGTGTCATTAAAAAATACATACAACCCTAAATTTTCACCCTTCTACCATCAACCCCTTTTTTGAATAATTTTTGTTACCATACTCCTCCAAAACGGCTTAACCGATTTTGATGAAATTTTATATGTATATTCAGTAGGTCTGAGAATGGGTTGTTATCTACTTTTTATATGCCTAAGTGATAAGGGTGGCCTACCCCAATCTTTTTTTTTATATGGCATTAAAAAATACATACAACCCTAAATTTTCACCCTTTTACCATCAACCCCTTTTTTTAATATTTTTTGTTACCATACTCTTCCAAAACGGCTTGACCGATTTTGATGAAATTTTATATGTATATTCAGTAGGTCTGAGAATGGATTGTTATCTACTTTTTATACGCCTAAATGATAAGGGTGGCCCACCCCAATCTTGTTATTTTTTTATGTCATTAAAAAATACATACAACCCTAAATTTTCACCCTTTTACCATCAACCCCTTTTTTAATAATTTTTGTTACCATACTCTTCCAAAACGGCTTGACCGATTTGGATGAAATTTTATATGTATATTCAGTAGGTCTGAGAATGGGTTGTTATCTACTTTTTATACGCCTAAGTGATAAGGGTGGCCCACCCCAATCTTGTTATTTTTTTATATGGCATTAAAAAATACATACAACCCTAAATTTTCACCCTTCTACCATCAACCCCTTTTTTAATTATTTTTGTTACCAACTCCTTCGAAACGGCTTGACCGATTTTGATGAAATTTTATATGTACTATATTCAGTAGGACTGATAATAGGTTGTTATCTATTTTTTATATCCCGAAGTGATAAGGGTGGCCCACCTTAATTTTTTTTATTGTTTGGATAACATTTTTTGTTATTTTTTTATGATGGCATTAAAAAATACATACAACCCATAAATTTTCACCTTTCTACCGTCAACCCTTATTTTTAATAGCGATATTAGTAATTGAATTATTTTCAACCTCATGCATAAAACTGACTGTTGTCCCATAAAAAATATTTATATAGCAAAACAACGTTTGCCGGGTCAGCTAGTATCCATATTATTTTTTTTAATTTTGTGTTTCAGGCCATTTGTACTGAAGCTGGATTAATGGCTCTCAGAGAAAGAAGGATGAAAGTGATGAACGAAGATTTCAAAAAATCAAAAGAAAACGTGTTATATAGAAAGAAAGAAGGTACACCAGAGGGTCTCTACTTGTAAAAGTTACACAAAATTATTTCCCATTAGTTCCCGCTTTTTATTACATACTTACTTTGTGAAACATTTATAAAAATAAATAATTTAATATTTAAATACTTTTTTAGCATAGATTTGAGATATATGAAACACAATTAAAAAAATACCTTACATTTATTTATAATCAAAAAATAGTTAAATAAAAATGATATAAAGTAGTAGCTAAACATAAAAAAACACAAGGAACTAACAAAAATAACAAAATATTAACTAAAACATTTCACTAACTGAATGCCCCTTTCTTTTTAAGTAGAGTTTTTGTATTTATCCTGTTAACTCTCGAATTTTCGGCTAACATTCTATTTCTAAAATCTTTGGGATGAAAACCTTGATGAAAACCCAATGTGGAAGGTTTCATTTTTTATTTTTTTGATGCCGGCGACGTAGATGGTTTTAAATCTTCAATAGCTGAAGCGTTCCATGAAGTGACGACGTCGGCATTACTCTGCGACGGTTTTATTTTACGCCTGGGTCTGTTCTCAACATCCGTGATAAGTTGATTGACAAGACTAAAACTAGAAGCTATCGGGTCCCTTGTTTGGTTCTTCGATTGTTTCTTTTTAGGTTTCTTTTTTTCTTTGCCTTTTTACTAATTTGCGTTTTTATTCGGCTTTGTATTTTTAGTCAAATCATCAATACTCTTATTCAATCTTCATTTAAGCGCCTTCTCGTTCAGAACGTCCCTCGAATCTTGAACATTATCTAAAGAAGTACTTGATTTAGGTATACTTTCCGGAGTCTCTATATTATGAAAATCATCAGAATTGGTTTGTGAACTTAGAATAATACTACTATCTTCCTCCACGTTTTTCTATTCTATTTCTTTTGAAAGGTTATCATTTTTCGTGTCTTCATATTTCAAAGAGATATTTACAGCAATTTCACCTTTTGATACACAAAAACAAAACGAATCTACCAAAGCATTTATTCTTTTACTTATTCCTAATTCTACTGAACCATGTACCTACTATAATATTTTCGTAGATTGTTAGTGAAGACTTTCTTGGTCTACTTTTTTGATGTGATTATCATTTTTTTAATATAGGCTTCAGATATATAAAACACATTTAAAAAATACCTTACGTTTATTTATAATCAAAAACAATTAAATAATAATGGTATAAAGTAGTAGCTAATTATAAAAAAAACAAGGAACTACAAAAATAACAAAATACTAACTAAAACATTTCACTAACTGAATGCCCCTTTCTTCTTAAGTAGAGTTTTTGTATTTATCCTGTTAACTCTCGAATTTTCGGCTAACATTCTATTTCTAAAATCTTTGGGATGAAAACCTTGATGAAAACCCAATGTGGAAGGTTTCATTTTTTCTTTTTTCGATGCCGGCGACGTAGATGGTTTTAAATCTTCAATAGCTGAAGCGTGCCATGAAGTGACGACGTCGGCATTACTCTGCGACTGTTTTATTTTACGCCTGGGTCTGTTCTTAACATCTGTGATAAGTTGATTGCCAAGACTAAAACTAGAAGCTATCGGGTCCCTTGTTTGGTTCTCCGATTGTTTCTTTTTAGGTTTCTTTTCTTGCTTTGCCTTTTTTACTAATTTGCGTTTTTTATTCGGCTTTGTATTTTTAGTCAAATCATCAATACTCTTATTCAATCTTCATTTAAGCGCCTTCTCGTTCAGAACGTCCCTCGAATCTTGAACATTATCTAAAGAAGTACTTGATTTAGGTATACTTTCCGGAGTCTCTATATTATGAAAATCATCAGAATTGGTTTGTGAACTTAGAATAATACTACTATCTTCCTCCACGTTTTTCTATTCTATTTCTTTTGAAAGGTTATCATTTTTCGTGTCTTCATATTTCAAAGAGATATTTACAGCAATTTCACCTTTTGATACACAAGAACAAAACGAATCTACCAAAGCATTTATTCTTTTACTTATTCCTAATTCTACTGAACCATGTACCTACTATAATATTTTCGTAGATTGTTAGTGAAGACTTTCTTGGTCTACTTTTTGATGTGATTATCATTTTTTAATATAGGCTTCAGATATATAAAACACATTTAAAAAAATACCTTACGTTTATTTATAATCAAAAAACAATTAAATAATAATGGTATAAAGTAGTAGCTAATTATAAAAAAAACAAGGAACTAACAAAAATAACAAAATACTAACTAAAACATTTCACTAACTGAATGCCCCTTTCTTCTTAAGTAGAGTTTTTGTATTTATCCTGTTAACTCTCGAATTTTCGGCTAACATTCTATTTCTAAAATCTTTGGGATGAAAACCTTGATGAAAACCCAATGTGGAAGGTTTCATTTTTTCTTTTTTTGATGCCGGCGACGTAGATGGTTTTAAATCTTCAATAGCTGAAGCGTTCCATGAAGTGACGACGTCGGCATTACTCTGCGACGGTTTTATTTTACGCCTGGGTCTGTTCTTAACATCCGTGATAAGTTGATTGACAAGACTAAAACTAGAAGCTATCGGGTCCCTTGTTTGGTTCTCCGATTGTTTCTTTTTAGGTTTCTTTTCTTTCTTTGCCTTTTTTACTAATTTGCGTTTTTTATTCGGCTTTGTATTTTTAGTCAGATCGTCCAGACTCTTACTCAATCTTCGTTTACGCACTTTCTCGTTCAGAACGTCCCTCAAATCTTGAACATTATCTAAAGAAGTACTTGATTGTGGTTTCCTTTCCGGAGTCTCTACATCATGCAAATCATCAGAATCGGAATTGGTTTGTGAACTTAGAATAATACTATCTTCCTCCGCGTTTTTCACTTCTGTTTCTTTTGGAAGATTATCGTTTTTCGTGTCTTCATATTCCAAAGAGATATTTACAGCGATTTCACCTTTTGATACAGAAGAACAAAATGAATCTACTAACGAATTTATTCTTCTGCTTATTCTTAAATCTACTGAACCATCCACTATAATATTTTCTTGGATTGTCAGTGAAGACTTTCTTGGTCTACTTTGAAGCGATTTGTCTGCTTTGACTGGTGTTTCCGTTGACTTTTTAGCAGGAGTTTGTTGTTCCACTTCTTCACCAATTGGTTGTTTTTCATCAGCCGAGTCGCTCACCAATTGGGAATCTTCTGTTGTAACCGTTTTACTACTTTCATTCACTGAACTATCCAATATAATTACTGAACTACCTGAACTGGTACTTCTTACTGATTCCGTCTTCTTAAGCTGCTCAATTCTTTTGTTTGGCACATTTTTAGTTTCGAAAACTTCAGCATTTCCTTCATCACTGGATGATGAACTAACGCGAATAATTCTAGACTTTCTCTTAACTGGTTCTTTTTTCTTTCCATGTATCTGTATAATCTCATCATCTGGAAGGTTGCTTGGACTGATTATTCTACTCTTCTTAACTTGATTTGGTTCATCTAAATCATACTCATTTCCAGGTAGTAGTTCGTTGCCTTCTTCATCATCGCAAATAAAGGAATCATGTTCGTATTCGTCTTCAGAGCTTCTTTCATCAGATTCACTAAAACCTACAGATTCTCCTTCATCTATTATTTGATTGCTATCTTCAGATGGTGTGTCCTCTTCACCTTTAATGAAAAAAATATCCTAAATTAAAAACAACAATAAAAACAAAGAGCAGTGGAGCCAAGACAAAAGCAAACAAATAAGTACACCAATCAATTTGCCATCGAAACTGCGTGGTCTGGATTTTAACATGTAAGACAGTGATGACAGCTTAATGGAAAATCAAATGTATTAAAAAGAGAAAAAAGTCGGGTTGATACATTTCTTCTATGCGGTATTGCCGGATTTTGCTATAAAATCTCAAACTGCATAAGTAGGCGTTTATGAAAAATGTTACATCTAGGGTTGGAACTAGGATTTTTCACAATTAGTTACTCATTTTACTACACATTACTACACATTATTACAAATATAATATATTGATTATATTTAGCTTAGATATATTATCTTCATTTTTTTCTACACACATTTTTTATTTTGTCTCTCTGTCCGTCAACCGGTCATTTATATTTATCTCTGTCGCATCCATTAAAATTCAGACCACGCAGATGAACTGACCAGGTCTAGTATAAATGAGACTCACGCAGGACCTATTTTTCATCTGGTCGCGCCCTAAGGCCTAAGCAAAAATTCGGGCCCTCTTTAAAATTCAAAAATTCTTTTGTTAGTTTGGGTTAAAAAAATAAAACGTTATTTTTAGATTGGGGAATCGCCGGTGCCGGTATCTTTGATATAAATTTATAAATAATTTTAAAAAATGCATTAATTATATCAATCTAAAGCTTATTTTATTTAATTCTATTTTCCTTATCAGAGGTAACTGTTTTTTATCTCTGCTGTGTAAATTTACATTTGAAATTATGAATATTTTATAACCTTTAACGGGCCCCCAGACCACCGGGCCCGGGCCTTATGGTAAAGTAGACCCTGGACTCAGGGTTGCCACAAGCTACACAATTGTGTACTTTGCTGCACATTTGCTTCAATGATTGCACAGCTACACCACAATCGCCCGAGCTACACATTTTGAGGATTACGAAAAAAACAATATATACAAAAGTACATATTTCGTATAAAAAATAATACCAGAACAGTAAATCAGCTGACAAAAACTGATTTCCTTGCTTTTCAGTTATCTAAGTTAGTACATCAAAAGAGGCTGCAAGTGTAGAAGCTGCTGTGATCAGTGTTCAGGTGTTCAGTAAAATGTCAGAGTATGAAATGGGTCATGAGTCAACGACCAATAACGGTAAATAGACAGGATTGCTTAATCCCTTAAATAATACATAATACGTACTTTGGCCAAATTTCACTGCTCAATTACGTCACTGTAGTTCCCAGTCTCACTTCCATTCGTTTGCATACGTGAATATTATTCAACTCCTATTTCACTTCCTACCATATCAGCAAGGACTGCAGTTTTTATGGACAAATTTGGCCGATTAAACAGTCCTGAATAGTTTACAGTTTTTAAACAGAATTAATCGGTCTAATTTGTCAATAAAATCGTTAGTTTCGTGGCATCAATTTTGACGCCACTGCAATCCTTGCTGGCATGAGAGGAAATAAAATGGGAAATGAATATATTGACGTATACAAACAGTCTTCTCGGACAGTTTACAGTTATTGGTCATGGATGGCTACACAATAATGCTATACATTTTTATGGTCAAGTTCTGCACAATCAAAAATTTTCTTGTAGCAACCCTGATGAGACTATGGGCGCGTTCAGGGACGGTCAGCGGCTGAGTGGCTGAGTAAGCGATTTCCCTAAACGGTCTATTCTGACGAACAGCAACAGTCAGCCGCTGTGCAAAATTCTCGGCGGTAAATATTTAGGCTGAGACAAGTCAGCCTTAATCTATTTTCTTATCTGTGGTCAACTAATGTAAAATAACTAAAAATAACTTTAATTTTCTCAGTTTATTGTTTACTTTTTATGGTTTGTTGAAGTTTGTAATCGTAGTTAATCGAATTTTTAAAAAATATGAGATATTTTTTGCCAAAAAAGTTACAAAGCAGTAGGTTAATCTAAAACGTTCGAAAAAGGCTTGTAAATAGAGATTGAAGAAGTTAAAGAAATAAAGAAAATTCAACTTGATTTTCATCTCATATCGAATTTTCTAAATACGATGAAATTAAGAAAAAATACTACTTTCTGAAAAAAATCTACATCAGCATAAATAACTTTTGATTGTAATTATAATACCGTCTGATCGAAAAAAAATGCGCCTAATTGGCTTAGAAATAACGATCGATAATATTTCTTATAGCCAGTAATAATTATTTTTTTCAAAATAATTTTTGTTCTAATGACTAAAGATCGATTATAGACCGATTTGACGAAGACGATTTATTTATATTTCTCTCAAATTTTTATAGTAGACAGAGAGCACATGAGACAGCTACTGTTTCTTGTTCTTTCTGCTGCTTTGTGCCGTTTAGGGAATATCGTAAGAAATGAAATACCGGGTGTTTTTCAAAAGTGGCTCACCTTTATAACTTTTTTATTTTTTTTAGATAAAAAATCCTGTTTCACCGAAAATGACTACAACTTTTGATTGTTAAATGGTATCCCCGGTATTTTTTTTACTTTATAATAGAATGACTTATGATATGACAACTTTTACATTATCACAAACTAATTTACCACATACTTGGTATTTCGAGTCAAATTGTCGTTATATTTATGGCAATAGCACTCTAGACTGAAATTTAAATTGTTTTTTTTTTAGTTTAAAATGTAAAGACTGAATTTATTAAATGTCATTCTAGTCAGAATGTCATTTTCTACCAATTAAAGTAAAAAAATACCGAGGGTACCTAATACCATAGTATAAGGAAACTAGTAGTTTTACTCCTTGTCAAATCCTTTGTTCTTTTTATGCCATTTTATATAACCTTGTTCTCGCCGCCGTAGCCGACGACGTAGCTGTATAGTCGTGGTCTATTAACTAGGCAAAGTATAGACGTGACACTCGCCATAGTTTCACAGATATGTATTTAGGAAAATATGAGTTCACAATAAAATAAAATAAAAAAAAATGATCATCGAGTAATAACTTGCTTGAAAACAGAATATTTTCACATTTCGTGTAGGTAACAATTCTTCTGTATCTGAAAATCTTCTGATGGGAAGAAATGCGGAAAAATATATAATGACATATTTTTATATTATTATCTATTTCAGAGATTTTCTATGACTTTTTTTATGCTATAGTACACTGTCTTTATTTAAAGCACACTGCGGTGTTGCCATTCTATTTCTAATTTACTAAAACTTTGGTTAAAAACATTATATACGAAAAGTGGTAAAAAACTAGAGTGAATATAACTTTATTAATACTTTGCTATCTTTTCTTAAACATGAAAGATATCGGAATAAATTCGTGTAGAAAAATTTACTTTATCGTATACAGGATATTTTTTATGGCGTCACCAAAATCGTAATATTTAAAAAATGTTGTCTCATTTTTTTAAATGCAACACCTTGTATATTATTTTTCTTTCAGATGTAGAATTAGAAGGTGAACATTTTTTGACAAGACAAGATAGACAAAGATCATATTAGGTGGCTTTGAAAAAAATTTACTGTTGAAAGAGCCATATGTAATATAACACTGCGAATATCTGCGACAGCGGTAAAAATTTAGAAACACTTTAAATTAATAAAAAAATGTTCACTTTTTAATTCTGCATCTGACAGAAAAATAATATACAGAATGTCGCATTTAAAAAAATTGAGATATACCATTTTAAATATTGCGATTTTGGTGACGCCATAAAAAATACCCAATATAGAATAATGTATATAGAATGATGTAAAATAATAAAAAAAATCAAACTAACTTTACCATAACTTTTTCTGTGACACCCTGTATATAACAAAATATTTTAGGATACACCCCTTTATAAACCTTGAAACATATGAATAAAACTTTTTTCACATCTTCGACAACGACGACGATATTGAACTTCTTCGCACTGATGGGCCACCCTGTATATTTACGGTGGTTTAAAGCTAGGTGTGGCACTTTTCTTCCCTCAAATATAAACTCAATATTTTGTCTATAATATTTTGAATATTGTTATATTACGACCACTTATAATAAAAAATAAATAAAAAAAAACATAAAAAAATACACTAAATTTATAAGAGATTATGCTATTATAAAATTCTTTCAATTAAAAAATATGAATAATTTGCGGAGACTTTAGATGTACAAAATATTTACTCTAAAATTGTTTCAAAAACCAATTTATATAAATTATCTCGTAAATTAATATTGGAATGAAAATTTTATGGAAAATCCCCTGACCAAAAAATATTTTTATGCGCATATTTGAAACAACATGTATATCTAAAAAACTATTTTTAAAATCTGCCCACATGTTAAAAAAAATAATAACATTTAATTAATTACATAACATCCGAGCTTCTAAAATAAACAAATATAATTAAATGTTAATTGATAATTACTATCAGCTTGCCGATTTACATCCGATGGAAATCTAAAAAGATTTAAAGAACAATAATTTTTTGAATTATTTCCACAATTAATAGCAGCGCACAGTAAGGCAGTCATTTTTTGTCAATCCGTCCCTGTGCTCGGACGCAACGCTCGAACCTCACAGCTCGACGGACCGAATTCAACTGAAACGCTTTGCAACCTGCCAGCTTGCAAAAACTGGCAGAAAATATTTGCGAGAGTGCAACTACTCTTTTCCTTAAACTATGCTAATACTGAGGTATTTAAAAATCAAAAGTTGTAATAATTTCCGGTAAAACAGAAAGCAAACGAAACTGATTGAATAAATCAATTGATATACCAAATCTCATTTTTTATCTGAAAAAATAAAAAGTTATAGGGGTGAGCCAATTTCAAAAAAACCCTGTATGACATATTTTGTGTTTGCTTCGCTTCCACATGATTATGAAGGATGAAGGTATTAAAAATGATAGGTAAACTTTAAAAATGACACTGATCTTACTGAATCTAGTATTATACTGATTATACCATAGACTTAAAATAAAATATAGACTGAGCTCATTCATAAATAGCTGGAACATGCGGTCAGACAATGTCTTGTTATTGTTTTAGGTTATAACGAGTGCGACACGAGCGATAGATAGGTTGTCTCTGTCGTAACGGTCGTTCCATGACGACTCTGCCGAGAAACACAACACTGTCTTTCGTTTCTCAAGTACACCTGAACTCTCCGTATCATAGCCGGGTAATTTTTTTATTTTAATGAAGCTATAATTAAATTAAAAATATATCGTATTTAAACGTGTTTATATTTTATTAAGATTTAGGACAGGCTTTTAAATAAAAGTTTAGAAAAAACGCCTTAGAGTCCAAAAAGGATAAAAATAATAAAATACACGGTATAGAAGAAATTACGTAATTTTTGAAATAAATAATAAATTATTAATTTTAGTCAAACATTTACAACCCCTAATATTAATCAAAACAGGATCTATTCCACAGATATAATAGAATCGGCGACAGGGAGAGAAAAAAAAATATGATTGTTGTAATCTTTTTTCTGGTTAAGTGATGTCTTATTATGTAAATTAGAGAAAACATAAATCTGTTCCATTAAAGCAAGGAAGGTGATAGGAAGTGGATAAAAGGAAAACTATATTTATTTAACTCGGTACTGTCTTTATTATACCGGGTGCGTCCCAAAAGTGGCTCATCCCCCATAATTTTTTTATATTTTCAAATAAAAAAACAAGATTTAGTATGTTAGTATATGACATAAATTAGGATTGATTGACGCATTCAATTGTTTTTGGTCACTTCCTGTTTCCCCGGAAATGACTATAACTTTTAATTTTTAAACGGCACCCTCGGTATATTTCTACTTTATTCGATAGAAAATGACACTCTGAACAGAATGACATATCATATGTCAACTTTTGACATTTTCGCCTATGGTTTAATTGTAATTGTAACACGCGGTTCATAACGACAATCTGACTCGAAATACCAAGTGTGTGGTATCAATATATTCAAAAAAAATGTTTTTTCCAAATATGCTAATGAGTCACCCTTGTTCCATTTGAAAAAATTGACATATGTATGATTAAAAATACGATTTGTACATCTTTTAACCGGCCTAGACAAGACACGAAACCCATTAGACGATCAAAACTATTTTTCCAAGGCTCCTTGATTAAAACTTAGTGTTTTTAACAACACCATGGCACCCTGGATTGAAATTTAAAATACGATTTGTTTTTAAGCGACAATGTCAAAAGTTGACATATGATATGTCATTCTATTCAGAGTGTCATTTTTTACCGAATAAGTAGCAATATACCGAGGGTGCCTTTAAAAATCAAAAGATGTAATCATTTCGGTGAAACAGGAAGAAACCAAAAACAATTGAATACGTCAATAAATCCTAATTTATGTCATATACCTACTAACATACAAATCTGTTTTTTTTATCTGAAAAAATAAAAAAGTTATAGGGGGTGAGCCACTTTTGAGACGACCCGGTATATTAAAAATATTGTTTCATAATGTAATATCATTTTAAAATTCTTGTATGTTATTTTAGATTCTGAAGATAATTTTAGAATAAACCGGAATATATTTTTAATAAAAACATTATTAATTATTAACAGGTTTATAATTATGATTTTGTTACAATGTAAGTAAGTAAATAATGTAATGCAAGAGAAAAAAATCAGATTTTACATTTTACTAAAATATTAACTAAATAAGCATAATGGGTAAATAGAGAGTTGCCTACCGGTCGAAAGTCGTTTCAAGACTTAAATGGATTATTTAAGTCAAATTTCTTGCAAATTTGGCACTGGCGAACAATATTTTATAGTTCTTGAACAGAAAAAGTCAATAAAATAAACACTTAAGGACTACAAGCTAAGAGAATGCGTTAATACAGCCGGGGCCATAGCGGCAACAAAGCTTTACCGCACACGTGCGACGCGTACTACAAGGTAATAAATGAATGAATAGGCTCCCTCGCCTCTAATCGGTGTTGTCATATTGTAAAGAACTTATCCTTTTTAAACAGTATCTGACTTATAATTTAGTAGTATAAGGATTATTTAATACATCTATGGAATATTAAAACCTACTTTATTAAACTGTAGTATTAATATCTCAATATATGTGTATAACAAGAAAAAAAATATTGATAATATTAAAGACGTGACAACATAGGCTGGATGAGGAAGGCTCGGTCGACTGTACCCAGAAGTAAACATGTGTACAAAAAAGATTGTTTGACCGCGTTGAGATGTAAATAGTGTAGTCTATATTTTATTTTAAGTCTATGGATTATACTCTTGCAAGAACTTCTATAAAAAACAAGAATTTGAGCTATTCGTTGACATTTAATTGTACTTAATTCAATTAGTCTCAACAGTCAAACAAAAATTATATATAAAAGTATTATTCAATAATAATAACAATAGCAAAAAATTCTTACCTTCTTCTGCCATATCATCAATGAAATCGTTGACTTCAACTTTTTCCTCGTCGCTTGAGCTGTCGGCATCCAGTTGGGATTTTATGTAACTATCCAGCTTATTATCAAAGGCTTGCAAACTCGATTTTTTTGATTTATTTTCTTTGCCATCTGAAACACTCTGTACATGTTGAGATGGTGTGGTTGTTTGTTCTTTTTCGTCCTTAACAGGAATATTTGCCTCTTCATTTTCGGGTTCTTCTGTTCCTTTATGTATTACAATGTTTTCTATTATATTTAATGTAGGGGTTTTACTGGAATCACTAACGGGTGAACTGGTTTTAGGATTATTTTCCTTCACTTCCTCATCGCTATAATCGCTGTCATTCCCTAATGTATCATTTTCTTTAGTGTTGTCGGGTTTGGTAATTACTAAGTTCGATTCTTCACTGTTAGAGACATTCTTTTTAGAATCATCACCCCTACTTGCTTCTCTGACTGAAAACGCAACTTCATCAGTTTTGTTTTCAGGCTTAACAGTTTTGTTTTCAGGCTTAACTGGCAAATCATCATTTACTGATTTTTGTTTACATGCATTATCAGTGCTCTTGTCCAAGTCTTCGTTAATGCTGGTATCGCTTTCAGGAATAATGGATTTATTATTGATTTTATCTTCATCAGCTGTATTTTCAGTTGTAATAACTTCCATATTCTCATTTAATATATTTTTCACAGAACCATCTTTCTCAATGGTAGATTCTTTGGTCCTAATTTTAAATTCTTGAAGAACGCTATTATCGTCTTCTGATGTTACAATCCGTTTATCAGATTTTTCCTTTTCAAATCCTTGAATTTCCAAATTTTCATTTAATGTGTTTTGCACAGAATCATTTTTATCAATAATATCGCTTTCTGATCCTATAACCTGCTTATCAGATTTTATCTTTTCTATGCCCTTATCTTCATTAACTAAGTCATCAGGTGTAATAACCCCATCACTATCACTGCTGGTTAGCTTATCACTCTTCTCAAGTTCCAAGTTAGTGTTATTATCGTTTTCTGATCTCCTAGCCTGCTCATCAGAATTCGGATCTTCAGAGTTCTCTTTATTAATACTCACTTCTTGACGACTCCGTGTATCATTTGCTTCGTTTTCTTCATCTGACAGTTCTTTGGTTCCATCGTTTAACTTACTGTCGTTTGCAAACACATCGTCATCTTCGGAAGGAAGATTGAAATCGTAGTGAGTCAAATCTGACTCTTTGGACTCCGATGGCACACTTTCATTTGTTTTAGCAGATACAGTGTTTCTTTCGCTTATTTTTGGGCTATTCTGTATGTCTGAATTATGTAATGAGACCTTTTTGCTCCCTGAGATTGAAGGAGACTGAATTTTAGGTGATGCATTACTAGAACTGAATTTTTCAATACTTTTATTGGCAATGTTTAAATCTTCATTTGCTGACTGATTTATAGGAAATTCTTGTTCTTGTTTGTCTTGTGTTTCAATATGTTGTAATGAAGATGTAGAAACTTCTGTAGTACTAGAAGATGTTCCGTCAGTTTCATTTTTCTTTTGATTGAACTCCAGTGTATTTTTCGAGTTTTCTAGTTCATCAATATCTCTTGTTCTGATTATATCTTCAGTACATTCTACATCTTTTTCCTTATTATCAGTAACTTCCTTGCTAGAAATTGAATCGTTAAAACTAATTTCAGGCTTATTATTTTCTGATAAGCTTTTTTCAAAATCTTGCTGTTCCACTTGATTGGCTAATACAGCAGAATTCAGGAGATGGTGTTTTAAATTTGTTATGGGCTTGGAAATTTCCGTTTGTAATGTGATATTTTCATCAAGTACTTTTTTCTGTGGACTTAAAGATAAATCTAGCTCCTTACGCTCAGATACATTCTTTTCAACTGACATATTAGTTGTAACTGCTTCAGAATTGAATAATTTATTAGTGGTCTGCTTTTCAGGACTGTAGTTCTGCAGAGTTGTACTGGTTGTTTGTAAATCTGGCTGCTTCAAACCGACAACCTCTTCATAGCTTTCACCAGGAATAGGACTTGTGGATTTACTCAAAGACGTGGATTCTTTCCTTGGTTGAATGAGACTAGTAGATATAGTTACATGCCTAATACTGATTTCTGTCAAAGAATTATCTAGTATTTCAGATTCTTTATTACCAATTTCTTTTTCAAATACTCGTGTAAAATTACTATCTTTGGCTTTAGGTTTCATACTGATATTAACTGAATTTCCTGTTTCTTCAATTATGTAGTTTTCGATACTGTCCGTGTCCTCTTTGCCATCCTTTTGCTTGTTTTCCAATATTGCTATCTCCGATGCGCTTAAATCTACATCCATAGGTTCACATGGTTCACAATGCAAATCCGACTGTAACTTAAATTCACTTGAATTAAGTACAGAGTCGGTTATTGATTGGGCACCAGTGGTTGTTACATCAACGTTTTCTTTATTGCTTCCACTACTTTCACCAGAGAGGTTTAATAATTTTTCCTCTTCTGATTTGACCTTATTATCTTGATGACTAATTACTGTAATATTCTCCGAAAATGATAGCTTTTTCGAATGCTTTAAGTCCTTACTTGGTGTAACATCTTTAGACTCTTTTGACATTAACCTAGGCGATTTTCTGGGAGTACGGTTTCCATCTGGACTAGTGCTAGGTCTTTTCTTAGAGACATTGTTCTTGGGAGACGTAGACTTATTTCTGTGTTGTGCATCTTTTTCTGAATGTCCTGTATCTTCGTTAGCATTGACTTTTGAATCAGAATTATCAAGTTTACTGGTGTTGATATCGTCAACGCTTTCATTAATAACGCTCAGGTCTAATTCTGCTTCGACTTTATCTAGAAGCCTAGTTTTTTTAATGGGTGTTAATTTTATAGTTACATTTTGCATTAAAATTGGGGACAAATCTTCATCATTTTTTTCTTCTAGCGTGGTATCGACTACTTGTGGACTCTTTGACATAGATCTTGCATCTTCCTTTTCTGACCTACTATTTGATGAAGTATTTGATTTCACCTCACCGTCTGTAGATACCCGTCGACTTCTTCTTGGCCTGGTTTCTTTCTCTGTATTAACTTCTCCATTCTGGTTTTCAGACTCTGGGCTTCTTTTACGTCTTGTAGTTGGTTTGGGTGGCTGTGAAGACTCCTGAGTTTCCATCTCAACATCTACCGATCTACGTCTTCCACGGGTTTGTGGTTTCTTCTCTGGTTGAGTGGGTTGGTCTGAAGCAGAACTACGTCGACTGCGAACTGGTTTAGGCTTTTCTTCGGGTTTCGATTCCGTTGTTTCAGTGACCGATCCTCTTCTTTCACGTCGAGTCGGCGTCGACTTGGCATCTGGTTTAGATTCATTCTCAGCTAGCAAAGATGCTGTGGGCAAAATCATTATTTACTATATGATAATTTAGTAGATAATTTTAAGGCTACTAAATACAAAATTCTTGCCTTGAGCTACTATATTTTTCAACTTTATAAAATCGTAAAAAGAAAAAAGAAAAAAATTGTTGTGTCCGTCGTTAAGAGGGGAACTAACTCCAACTCCCATGACTGGTTTCTGGGTAAGATATTAAGGATTTTGCGCCAAACGATGAAACAGAGCATTCTTCAGCAGCTTTAATATTATAAATATGAAGGTAAATAAAAGTTTTCTTGCTGCAAGATCTTATTTATTTTGTAGATTCTCTTCTAGTAACGAACCAAGCGACGAAAAATATAAACTTTACACTCAGATGCAAAAAAAGGCTATGTTTTTATGATAACTGGCCAGAATTCATTCAAATAACTCTGTTTAGTATTAAACGACATTATGGAGCGTAGATATCTTAACAGAGACGAAATGCTAAGGGCCATGGGTATGCTCGAAGCTGGAATGCGCCAAATCGACGTAGCTAGAGCATTAAATACAAAGCAAAGTGTAATATCGCGATTAAGTGCACGCTACGGTGAAAGTGGTGATGTTGCTGAAAGGCACACAGAGCGACATCGCATTACTACCCCTCAGCAAGATCATTTTTTACAATTAAATGCTCGACGCCGACCGACTCTAACAGCACCAGAGCTTAGTTTAATTCTCCAGGAAACACATAATGTAACCGTGAGTCCTGACACTGTTCGCAATAGATTAAGAGAGGTCAACTTAAGAAGCAGACGCACTTGGAGAGCTCAACCCTTAACGAGAGGAAATCGAGAGGTACGATATTTGTGGGCTCAAGATTATGTTCAGTGGTCGAATGAACAATGGGCCAATGTTCTCTTCACGGATGAGTCACGCTTTGGAATTCCTCGGGATTCGAGAAGGCTTAGGATATGGAGAGAACCGGGAAATCTTATTCGGTTGGATCATGTTCAGGAAGTGCACCCTTATCAAGGTGGAACAGTTATGGTCTGGGGAGGAGTCCAGTTAGGCCGAAAAACCGATCTCGTTTTTCTTGAAAGGTTTCTAACAGGAATCACATATCGTGATTTAATTCTTGAGCCTATCGTGTTACCATATGCCAATGATTTTGGGAGAAACTTCATTCTCATGCATGCCAATACACGGCCTCATACAGCCAGAGTGGTAAGTGAGTTTATCAATGCTCATCAATTAAACATCTTACCCTGGCCGGCACAATCTCCTGACCTCAACCACATCGAGCACGTATGGGACGCGGTCCAAAGAGGAATTTTGAGAATGGGTATGCCTCGTGAAACTCGTAGGGATCTGGTTCGGGCCGTGAATACAGCGTGGCAGGCTGTACCTCAAGAAGAGATCGAAAACCTGATCAGGAGCATGGAGAGACGATGTAGGGCTGTAATGAACAGTAGAGGAGGCTATACCCTTTATTAAGAAAAAATGGGTTTATCTTTTTTTTTAATTCACAGTTTAGAATAAAAAAAAATGTGTGTATTTTTTTGAATTCAATAAAAATCAAGGTAAATTTGAAAAATTCGGTAAATTGCGCATTTTTATTTCCAATACGTTCTGTAAACTATTTGTTTATTTTAATTTTATTATATGCTTGGTAGGAGGGTTAGAGGTCATGAAGCGGCACTAGCTGCATTAAATAAACTTCGCTTAGTCCTTAAAGAAGAATGGGAAAACATAACGCAATATGTATATATTCATCATTGACAGTATGAAAGGACGCCTACAGGCAATTATAGCAGGAAGGCAATACAGTATTAGAGTATTTTTACCTGTTTTCTTTACTTATAAATTTTTTTCCTGTTTGTGTACTTGGTTATTATAGATGTTTTCTTTAATATTGTTAGTTTTGTTATCAATATTAATGTTTATTAAAACCAGGACAGTATCGTTACTCTTTAACGTTTTTTTTAAAATTTAGTACAGAGTATCCAATGCAGCGTAATATGGCATTACAAAAATAGTCACCAAAGCCACCTTGTCTTATTGAAAAATAACCTCAGAAAGTTCTTCAAGTTCTTCTTGACAGCTCTTAAAAATTAACGAAGGCATGTGTTGACATGAGACAAAAACAAAATGCTCAGGATGCATGGCTTTGACAGAAAAATAATATTTTAGGAAAATTTGCACGTGAAGTTATTGCACAGGGTGTTTTAAAGTTAAGGTAAAAAACAACCATTCTATAAACCCTGTATAATAAATAAAGCCCAATACTATAATTTTATAAAAAACTTGAGTTTTTGCCAAAAAAACTGAATTTGCCAAAAAACATAACACTTTAAATTTGACGATTTTTTTTCCGTTGCATTTTTTGCATCCCAGTGTATAAATATATAACTATTAATTCTTTTAATGAAGAAATTAATCCGGCACAAAGGTATAGACGTTATTTACAAATTATTCAGTGGAGCTGAAGATAATTACAAATTTTTCTATCATTATGTATAAATCTACGTATGCCTAAATTTAGGAGAGGAATTAGGTGATTTATTCATAATTTCATCATAATTTGGTAAACAGATTGCAAGGTACTCTCATTAGTTTCAAAAACTACCTAATTAAATAGATTTTTCTTTAAATAAAAATCTAATTTTCAGTATTTCTGATTTGCAATCAAAAATAAAAAAGAAACTAATCAGTTCTGATTTACCTACTTATTTGTATTCTATAACATCAGACCTTTATCACTGAATATAAGAATAAGAGACCAGGGGAAAACATTATACAGGGTGTTTCAAAAAACATGTGCATTCTCTTGTGGGGAGATTCCACATGTAGAAATAAGATTTAGTTTTCATATCAACATAGGTCTGATTCTGCTTTGTTTCGTAGCTACAGGGTGTTAAAGTCTTAATAATCTTTCAATTTATTATAATTTTCTTTCAAGTACTTTTAGTGATTCGAATGAAATTTTGACGGTAAAAGTTACTATAAGTGCGACATATTTTAATGCTTAAAAGTGGTGATAAATTCATTAGGGACGTGCATAATATGGATTATCACTAGAATATTTAAAAAAAAAACTTGTGCGCCACTGACTTTTTTTGTTTTGATATCAAAATTTTCTCTTGATATTTTGTCTCTTGATATTTTGATATTCTAAATCTCTTGATATTTTGTCGAATTCGGCCTCTTTGATGAGATAACCGAAATTTTATTAATCACAATAAAAATAAAACTAATAAATTATATATTTTACCTAATTTATTATTAAATATTATTACTATTAGTTATTACTACTATTAGTCTAACCTACAGCAATTTCAAATAAAAAAATAATGGTATTTAAGATACATAATTACAAAAAAAACTTAATTTTAAAAAGTTTTAACATCCTGTAACTAAAACTATGCATTTTCATACCCATGTTTATAGGAACTTTTTTTCATATTTTTTGATGAGTACTTATTTGAAACTTTCACAAGTTAATGATATTAAATTTTTTTAAAGGTCTTGTTATTAGACTTGCATCAAGGCAAATTAATAAAATTGCGTTTATCTCATCAAGGAGGCCGAAATCGACAAAATATCAAGAGACCACTTTTAATCGGCATTACACTACTTACACTATTTCACTAACAAGAGAAAAAAGTCAGTGATGTACATGTTTTTTTTTAGAAAAATATTCCAGTTACAATCCATATGCACGTCCCTGGTGAATATGTCCACACTTTTTTAGCTTTAAAATAAGTCGCATTTATAGTAACTTTTACCGTCAAAATTTAATTCGTAATGCTAAAAGTACTTGGAAGAAAATTATAATAAATCGAAGGTTTATTAAGATTTTAACACCCTGTAGCTACGAAACAAAGCAGAATCGGACGTATGTTGATCTTACTTTTAGAGATGGCACATGTCTTTTGGAACACCCTGTATATAAATGTTTTAAGTTATATCTTCATCTTAAATGATTTTAATATTAATTACTAAACCTATCAATAAAGGAAAGGTACCCAACAATTGTAATCAATGTATAAATATATATTTGAAAGAATGTAAATACCTGGTAATAATAATAAAACAGTATATTTCTTTACAAACCTCTACGAGTTCTTGTTAGTGGTTTTGTTTCTATTTTTTCTTCAACATCTGTTGCTGATGACCTTCTACTTCTAGTGATTTTGGCCGGAGCATTATTTTCAGCTTCTGTTTGTGAATTTCTGGAACAAATAAATTTTCGTTAAATCATTCGTACAACAAACTGTCAGGAGAATAAATTACCTTCTTGTGACAATAGCGGTAGGTGTGGATGAATGTGCTGTGGTATTACTGCTTATTCTGCTCGATCTGCGTAGGGGAGAACTCACCGAAGCCTCACTGGCCTGCAGTTCTGCTGTTGGTGTTCTACGGGGCATTCTGAGAGACTTTAATCAGAAGAAAAACAATTAATTATGTATCGAACCTAAATTACTTCACACAAATAGAGTTCACATATATTTCTCAATAATATTACTTGATTTTAGGTTTTGAGTATATTATAGAGAACAGAATAAATAAAAGTATTATCACAGCAATATATTCAGTGCATAACTGGTCAAACAGATTAAGTTTTTTTCAAGAAAATATGTCTGTGGAGCTCCAATGAGAATATTAGCTGTTATCAAAACTGTAATCAGCTCCAATGAGAATATTAGCTGTTATCAAAACTGTAATCAACATTTTTAAATAATCTTAAACATTTTGTTAAAAAATAAGCGACACAATATCTCTTTTACTAACGCTGTAATGTTTTAGGGTACAAAAAAACAGTCTTATCGTTAACAAAAAATGTGACTTCTAACCTGCTTACAACAATAATAGGATTCACTAAACTAATACAAGTAATAAAGGCATTTCTCTCGATTTATATATTACATATATTTTGATTACATTTTTCAAAACCTTACCTTTTCTTTTATACACGTGCTAAAATAAACTTTTTAAAAATACAAACCGTTGGCAGAAACACCGCGCGAGTGCGCAAAATAGAATGACAGACAAACAGCTGTTTCTCTGAATTTAAATCTTGGGACCACAGATAAAAATAGTATGCAAAAATCTCTGATAAAAATCAAGTTAAAATAGTCTAAATTAATGTAAATAAATCATTATTGTGATCTAAATTTTTCGGATGTCGATGAATATAATTGGAGAAATGCAACAAGGGATATTACAGAATATTAGAATAATTGTTCGATTTTATAACGGACCGTTTTGTTGTGTTCGTTGACGTCACCGAGGGACTTGTTGGAGATTCCTCAAAAGATTTAGATTTTTAGATCTTTCATATCACATAATTAATGCAATAAAACTTGTTTCTTTCTCTATTTAGAATGTAGATCTTCTAGAGATGTTGATAGATTGTTTCTAGGATGATTTTTGTACTGTTTTAGCAGTTTCTTTTTTTCTAGAGGAATTAATTTATATTTTGTTTTATTTTATTGGTATCGTACAAATAACACGCTCGGTGGTTATTATCGGATATTTATAAAAAATATGTGGATAAGTAATTGAAAAGTAATACAAGGTTTTTTTTTAAATAGGTGCAAATATTTTGGGCGGTAGCGATAGTTGATATTTATTAATAAAACAAATATTTATTTTTATGGTTTCATCATTTTTAAAGTAAATGCATTTTTAATTTGGAATTTGACCAATTCAAGCATTTTTAATCTTTGCTGTTATAAATCAGAGCAAAATAACGTTTCTTGATAAAATGGCGAAGGAATCGAAATAGTTTAGAAAATGTTTAGAAATATTATTTTTCTCTTAAAAAAAGGCCGACATAAGAGCCTAGGCCTAGAATACATAAGGCATTTTAGAACTGCAACTAAAATACCTAAAATATATATAAATTACCTAAAATAATCAAATAATTTCTTTCTTTAAGTTTTATTTGCTTTAAATTACTAAAAATACTATATACTTATTTAAAGATTTCCTATGTAGAAAGTAGAAAGTTCCTCTAGTGAGAATCTAGTAAAAAATGCGAGACTTGCAAGTCTTGCAGCAAGACCAAGACCAAAATCAAGACCCTGCAAAACCAAGACCAAGAGTAACACTACTTATTAACTGCAAGGTCAAGACCAAGATCAACGGAGTCTGTGTCTTGGTTTTGCACTTGTTCATTTTTATCTATTTTTTATATTTATTATATTTTAAGCACTCAAATATTTTCAAAATTAAACAAATTTCTAGAATTTTTGTTATGAGTCAAGAGCCAGTTGAAAATTGGCGATTTTTGACTGAACGGTGCAAAAATATACTTTTTCTACTCCGCCCTGAATTTGTTATTAAAGGATGATATATCCTAAATTTTTATAAGACAAAATGAGGTTGAGAATTTGTGCAGGACCCCGATATCTTTGTTATCAAAAAATACAACTTTCAAATTATTTTTATTCAAAGTTTTTATTAATTCTGTTAAATTATTGTTAAGACCAGTGTGAAAAGATACTGACCTTTTATTAACTAAAAATCGTCAATAACGTCATGTCTGTTCTAAGTTCATAACTACCAACCAGAGATCTACAACAAATTCTCCCAAAGCACACTACAAATATCAACAATTCTGCAAGTCCAGTAGTGAACAAGCGGCCGGGTGAGAGTCCTGTCAAAAAATATTTCGTTTTTTCTTGATGTTTTTGCGGAAATACTAGCGCGTGGTGACTTTTTGTTATAAAATTATCCTCCTGGGAGTCTGTTGTCTCTATTAAAGGGGTAAGTTCATCGAAATATTGATTTATTTACGTTATTTTGATTATTTTATTGTTGAGTTTTTAACATAAATTTGGCGTCGGCAGCGACTGTCAGGATTTTCATGGCAACGCGATGAAAGTTCTGCGCGTAAAGTACGGCATCGATCGATGATATCGATGCAGCGGGAGATTGAGCGAAATTGTTATGTGACTTCAATGTTAATTTATGAAATTTTTGCCTTGTAAGAAAGATATTTTTATGGCTATACAGGTGTAAAATTGTATTTAAGCTACAGAATGGGGCTTTTCTTATAGATAAAATAAGGTAATAAACAATATTTTTTTAACATTTTCGGTAAAAGAAAAACTTTATTAATTATATAGGGTTTTGTTTATCTTATTTATTTAAAAAACTAAATATTACTTAAATGTAGCTCTTTTGCTTTCGTTAGATTATACAGGGTCCGGCAATAGTGCGTCGGGCATATGTAGCTCTTAGAATAAAAAAACTTGGGAATTTTGTTTAAATACAAACTTAAAATATGTACGAGGATGTATTGCAGGAAAATATTTTAGTTTCTATAGGGTGGTTGAAAAACACCCTGTATATTATTGCATTATTGGCTTCCTTTCAGATCACTTTACATAATCCTAACATATCAGTAAATATATTTCGATAGTTTCATAGATATTAATAAATAAATAAAAATATCCAGCTATTTTTAAAAAAATTAACAGTACAAGAAATGTTCTGAAATCCAAACCATATTAGGTCTTTATTTTAGATGGTCTATACTTAACTTTGATATAAATATGGTAGTCGTAAATCATACAGGGTGTTCAAAATTCTACGCCAAACTTTCTAAAATATAAAATAATTTTTCTTTCTTTTTTTTTAAATAAAAATATTGAATGGTTTAAAAAAGGTCCGATTTTTGCTATATCTCCGAAACTTAAATTTCATAAAAAGTCAAACTATCTCTACAAATTCATTTACCAATAAAATGTATAAAAACATTTTTAGAAACCCGTGTTCAACTAAAACTTTTTTAAAAAGAGTACGATTTTTGCTATAAATCTTCGAAACTAAAATTTCACAAAAAGTCAAACTATTATCAAAAGTCAAGCTACCAAAATCCGTGTGTGTTTTTAGAAGGAGGGCTATTTTTATGATTCTAAATAATTTTGAAGGTGTTAATGTTGAAATTGAGCGTGGAAGTCATTTTTCAACGCCCAAAAATCTTTCAAATCGGTATAAGTGAAAAAAGCTCGATTTTGGCTGGGAAAACTTTCGGAAATTTTCGAATTTTTTTAATGGGGCGATTATACCTAGAGCTACACTAGCTCTATCCGTAGAGGCTTCATTGGTCGTTTAACTATTTACCGTTTCCGAGATATTTTGTGTTTTTCTATATTGGCAAAATTTCGACTTTAAATCGTTTTCTACGAGTCCTTATGAAAATTTAAGAAACGAAAAATTGGCCATGGGAGGCATTGAAATGTTTCATGGGAGGCATTGAAATTAGTTTCAAAGTAAAGGAAATTGAAAAAATTCCTTTACTTTGAAACTAAAAGAACTTCCTATCAACTTTTTGTTAACATATTTTAGTATGAGAGGCTATACGTGCCTCCCAGCGCCAATTTTTTAATAATAATAAATAAGTTATTTATTTTCGAGACTCTCGAAATTTCGAGAATCTCGGATCGTGATCGAGAAATTGACTTCGAGAAAAACATCGAGACGAGAGTTTGTTAATATCTTGTTCTCGATGATCGAGACGAGACGAGAAATTGCCTTCGAGACGAGATTTCTCGTCTCGATGAAACCCTACTGGTAGTATAGTTCAACCCCAGAAACACGCCTATGAGGTTTTTTTCGCGAAAAGAAAATTTGTAAAATTCAAAATTTTTTGAAAATTTGGAATTTTTTTTGGTTTTTAGTTAAAAAACATAATTTCTTGATAATATGGCAACATAGATATTAGATTAAATTTACAAGAAAGAAAATCCAGAAAAGATCCAGTGGCTCTCAAAATTTTCAAAGTAAAATAACTCTGTTATTTTTTACTTATTTGAAAAACGATAAAGAGAAAATATGTTTCTTTTATCGAGATCTTCCACTCCTTAAAATACTTGTACTTATTTCTGGGACACCCTGTATGCCTACAAATTCATTTACTCAATAATATCTATAAAAAACATTTTTAGAAACACTAAGGTATCTACAATAGTTGCTTAGTAAAAATTATTTTTTTTAAAAAGGTCGGATTTTTGCTCGGATTTTTGTTATATCTCCGAAACTAAAATTTCATAAAAAGTCAAATTGTGTCTACAAATTTATCATTACCTCAGCACTCAGAGTAGGAGGGCTTTATTTTCTTTATCTAATTTGTTCTCCGTGCACTCTAGAGAACAGAAGTTAAAAAAATCCCCGATAAAAAAATCGGAATTCCTATTTTCATATTTCATTATAATAATATTTAAGTTTTCTTACAAAAAGCAACGGCCTATAGCTACGTTGAAACACCGGTTCCCATTAGAACACTGAAGTTAAGCGACGTAAGGCGATACTGGTGGATGGACGGGTGACCGGTTCGAAACTCTGTATCGTGCTGTTGTCAGAGGGAAAAGTGTAAAATCTATTGACACACACTGCTCATTCACGCCGCCGCCGGTTCGAGGCCGGATAAGATCGGATATCTTGTGAGTAAGAGTTAATTTAGACATTCCTAAGTTGGCCACTGACCATGATATGGCCGAGGACCGCGGTTTGGATTCCGCGTAAACAAAGTAGGCCCCGTCCAGATTAGCCCTGGCAGCAAAAAGGAGACGTTAACTGAAATCTTTACTTTATTTTTCTCATATTCGAGAGGTGGTTCCACTCCCTTAGAATTCGAGTTTCGAAAAATCCCTTCTTATCGAACCTCTACACCCTAAAGTCAATCCGTTTTCCAAAAATCAGCTTTTTACGTCAAGCGCTTTAAGCAGGATCGTGATTAATCAATGATCAGATTTTCCGAAACACCCTGTATACATTTTTAAAAAATCTTAAAATATGAAAAAAAAACAAAATAAAATGTACGTGTTTAAGCGTTTTTTTCGGAAACTTGACCGTTTTTTAAAAAAAAAATATTGTAATATTTGAGGGGTGGTTTCACCCCCTTGGAACTGAAATTTCGAAAAATCCCTTCTTATCGAACCTCTATACCCTAGAATCAACCTGTATGCCAAAATTGAGCTTTTTACGTGGAGTGGTTTGAGCAGGACCGCGATTAATCAGTGAGTCAGTCACTTAAG